AGACCTCGGAAATTATACGATCACAATAGGAATATGTGGAAAGTTAACAATTTGACTATCAGTACAAATTTTAACACGCAACGGTGGAAGATGAAATCCTTCCGAGACGAAAGATAATTAATTCCTCGTATATGTTTACATTGTGCGCGCATTTGACCAATTATAATGTCTTCGTATGTTAAATATTAACTTTTTGCCAAGCTCATCACCTTCATGGGCGTAAAATAATAAAAAGAAAAATAAGCGAATATTCATAAGCGATGATTGAAGTTGTTCGTCTTGGATTTTTAAAAAAATATATTTAATTAAAGGAAAATTTCTAGTTTCTAAGGGAAGCACCTACAAAGTGAATTAATTTTTAATTGGTTTTTAAAATCGAATCAAATATATTAGCGTTTGTCCTTGTTGAAGAAGCCACCCACACGTTGAGGTCAACACGTGTAAGTTTTCATGATTTTTTTTCCACCATGGAGCTATGATGTATAGAAGAATTCCAACAGATGACAGGAGGGGAGAAAAGGTCCGATAGGACGAAGGGGCTCCGAAACAACGAAACCGGCCACCCAGGTTCCGTCTCCCTTCCGCAGCAAGTAAATACTAAACGAAGAAGTGCTTAGTAAATACTACTCGAAAGAAAACGTTATTAATGATTATGGCGAGGAACAGCACAACGAGGGCGTCACTCGGTTTAGGCGTTGACATGTCGCTCATCACTGTAAGGTAAAGGTCCCGGGTTCGAATCCAGCGGCCTTACATTCGAACGTGACATATTTACAACGAACATTTTTTCCACACCGGCATCCCACGGAGAGTTGATATGACCTCATCTATTGCAAACCCTCGTAAAAAGCAAAAAACCGAAACATTTATTTAATATATTATAATCGTACCTAAAAACGCTTTTGTGTATCCGTTCTAAATGACTTTTCTCCAAAGAGGAATTCGAAATGCGTCGCAGATCCTCGAGTTATATCTTATCTTACATTTTTTGCACATTTTATTAGGATAAAAACACTCATTATATTGCAGTATTTCTCGATTGTAAAATATTGTTCAGAATACCGGAAAGGAAATATAATCACAGCGGAAGATAGTTGCTGAAAAACGGAGACAAACAAATTTAATACAGCAATAAGATAACCGGCTGATATGTAATCGCCATTCTAAATAATTGAAGCTGTTTATATTGTCGTAATAGATTTGTCGGCGGTGATATTGCGCAACTGAAACTTAAACATGTCGGAAGGAATGCTTTTATACTGGATGTATTGACGGTGAATACATTTTTATTTGCTTTTAAGCGAAGTGTCCACTAGAAATAAATCTTTCACAAGTTGACTTCCCAACCGACTTTTGACATGTAAACACACGCGCAAGTCAACTTGACTTCAGTGACTTTCCGCACTTCAACTTACTGCAAGTCGCACGTACACGCTTTGATTTCGACCTTGCAGCAAGCACTCGCTTGTTTATTATGCGAAATCAATAAACTTGGAAGTTTTTGCTGCAAGTTTTCGCTGTTTTCGATTTGAGTGAGAAAAAATTGTGGTGTAAAGAAATAATTAAGCTCATTTCGTTCTATGAACATTATCCTGAATTATGGGATACAAAATGAAAATATTTTAAAAGCAAAATTAAGAAAAACACTACATTGCAGACTCTAGCTGCTGAATTCCATTCAACAGTCATTCGTAAAAAGTTTTTAGTTCCAATGGGTCTTCAGTTATCAGATCACTTAATAACCAATTATGAAGACCAAGGTTTTCACGCCTTAAAATCCAGGCTAGTACCCACACTTTTCGATTTTTCATTTTTTCTATTAATGCTGAATAATGTACGTACTGCTTGTATTTTGCGACAACTCGGCATCTTGAACTGCAGAATATTGCAGCCAATATAATATTCGTGGAAACGGATCGTCCAGAAGTTTACTTGCGGAAGCGACTTCCTCTAGAAAAAATAGAAACAGTGTAAACATTAATGGAAGGTACTTGCGCAAGAAATATTGCTAGTGTACTGAGCTTAAACGGTGCAGAGAAAAACAAAATAAATGAACAGCGGCAATAGGGGTATTCACGATCTTTGTGTTCACCCTGTTAACTCTGACGTAGATTTGTAAGAATCGGCTAGTTCGATCTAACAGGTCAGGGCCAATGATAGATGTTAGGTCGAAAATTTAGTCACATTGCTATCCGTTAGGGCGTAGGTAACCAACATGGCAGCCATGATTTGTAAAGCTGTTTTTTTGTGTTTATACGTATTTTTATTATTAAATACACATTAATTAAATCAGACCAATACATTTCTTTTGTTAATTTCTGACCTGTCCTTATATTCTCATTCATAATAGTCACATCCCCTACCTATAAAGTTGTAGGCAGTTAGACGTTAGGATAGAAGTTAGGTATGCCGGCAAGAATTGAAGCGGATCTTTGTTAGTACTTTACGAGTACATAGATAGCAAGAGGTATTCACGATCTTTGTGTTAGCCCTGTTAAGTCTGTTAGGTCCTGTTAGATCGAGAAAAATGGTGACGTAGACTTGTAAGAATCGGCTAGTTAACATTGCTCGATTTAGCAGGCCAGGGCCATGTTAGATGTTAGGTCGAAAATTTAGTCACATTGCTATCCGTTAGGGCATAAGTAACCAACATGGCAGCCAAGAATTTAACAGCTGTTTTTTGTTTACACGTATTTTTATTCTTAAATATGCGTTAATTAAATCAGACCAATGCATTTCTTTTGTTAAATTCTGACCTGACGTTATACTCTTATTCATAGTAGACATTCCCTACCCTATGAAATTGTAGGCTGTTGTGCATAGATAGCATTTTGAATGAAAGAGTTGATTAATTTTCCTTTTTTATTAACTTCTGGCATTTTACAATTTAACACAAAAGAAAACCAAAACGCCACGCGCAGCATTGCGGAAAAATTAACATGCTAAGAAAAGAAGGAAGCCTTCATGATCTCAGTGTAACATTTTTCAATTCGAGTTAACATCTTACAAACATCGTGAATACCCTTAATATTGTCATATACGAAACGTTCGTGAAAAAAATTTCCCTTTGTTGTTATTACTAATGGACAAAGCGTTATCTTCCAAATCAACTGGAGAACGTGATGTTCTGAAGAAAAAGCTCGTGGAATTAGACCATCGAATTCATCTGCGATCCTTTTTAAATATCATCCACTCCCGACACTCAGATATTGCCCAACGGTACGATAACCGTTCTCCATAGATTTCTATGAGCTGTTAAAAATTGTAGGAGGGCGGTTAATGCAGGACGAACGGCAAAAAAAGAAAAGACCTTACCTGCCCCTTTTGTCCTAGAGTTCCGTTCACTACAGACAGAAGAGGGCCCTGAAAAGGAGTTGACCTGCAACCACTTCTTTCCATGTCACAAAATGAGATTATTTCCTTGGAAAAACCGCTCACCTGAGATGTGTTTTGATCAGATCGGTGGGAGAGGCCGAGTGCAGTCAGTCAAGCAAAAAGTCCTCCGTTAAAAGGTTTCGGGGCCTAAGAAAGAGCCTCGATTCGTTACCTATCACTGACCACTGTTGAACACCTTTTCAGGATGTGCGCCCTTTCTTTTTCTTCCGTTTACGATTTTTGGAAAGCATGCCGATTTATTATTATTATAATTCTCCATACGGACAAATCCATTATGCTGGTCTACGAGTTAATGAACCTTTATCGGATATTTTGAATCATATCCTTTCGGTCCGCATGTTCTCGCTGTTAGTATTCCGCTAGACGGCACTGCGCCATCTCCACTGGTGAATGTTACCGTTTTATGCAAATTATCATAAAAAGTTGGCCCTTTGTCGCTTGTAGTATTTAAACAGTCGACGAGAGTGTTAAATTAATTAACAACTATTTAACCTTGATTTTTGAAAAAAATCTTTTCCGATATCCTGGACTTAAATTGGTTTTGTAATTGAATACAAGCTATTTAACTTCACGACTGAATGTGGTTAATCAAAATTCATAAAAGGTATAAAGTTTAGTTTTTGTTACTTAGAGATAAAACACAAATTTAAAAAAATGTTTTAACCAAATATATTTTGTAATTCTTGTTGCATTCACGTGCTAATATTGTAGTTTCCGTTGAGATTTATATCAGTGTGAAACTAATTAGCATACCTAAACTTACTCCATACCGAACAAAGACGCCGTCATTTGTAATATTTAAAGCTTTTGGTTGGTAATAATTGTACCATTCTTTCCCTCAGCTTTTGCCGTATTTCTTTCGGTTATTCTAGGAGGAGTGAATAGACTAACGTCCTGTTTATTTATAGTCCGAATCTTTTTTAATAGAACTTGATACGTTCACAATTGCCACGTGCGATCTTTGCGGGAACTCGATTTACCATTTGGTCCAAAATAGAATTTCTCAAACTGCATCTTGTTTATTCTGGTTTTCGACAGATTTTTCATCCGAGAAATAAATCTTCCCGCCCTGGACAATCTTTCATCGCACAGTCATCCGAATAAAAGTGCAACTCGTGACAGGAAGCAGAAGAGTTTTTATCGTGCCAGTAAAGGACTGGTCCGAGTCCTCATTTGCTTCCATATGGCGACCAACAGTTAGCTGTACAAGACGGGTTGAAAGAACGGAAAATCTCCAAGCTATCGGTTGAAGGATTTAGTGGCACTTACAATCCAAATTGAATTTTATCGCTTCCTATTCACTTTTATCTTTCTTTCCTGGCCGCTTTATCCGAAATACGGAAGACGTTTTGACTATTCGCGTGGATGACTTATTTGTAATCTTTTCAACTACTATAATACCGGTTTTTTTGTCAAATAATCTTGCGAATAAACCGAATCGGCGATTTGTACGTCCTGTTCGTCCCATTCATAATGAAGTCCTTGTCGGATATACTTCTTTTAGGCTTACACTTACGCAATTTGCCCACCCCAAGCTGGTAGACATTGTTTTTTTTACTTGATGTTTCACCATTTTAATTGTTTGTTTTTTCTTTTTGTTACAGTCGTTCAAACGGATCCAGAAGCAAACAGTGAGTTGTTCTCTTCATTTTCCATGTTTGGTAGATATGAATTTGTCAAATTCGAAAGTGCACATACAGCAAAATGACACAACGCGACATACAGCCATTCGACACATTAACAGAACATCCATTTTTTCTTCATTTAAAAATCGCTTTCAAAATTTCTGGTTCTAATACAGTAAAAGTTCCTTTTGTTTGATCTGTTATTCAATAAAATTCTACCAGACATACATACTATATTACTTTGGAAAGCAATTTTGTTGATTATAATTCTGGATGTTGTTTTACAAACAAGCGAGACAAACAATCACTAGATACCAATTAATAACAGTTAGTAGAGTTGATTCCTGGTTCCTTATTTTGAAATAAAAATCAGGAAATGATGGATTTCTTCGTACGGTGTCAATTATTTATACTTGTTCTCTCCCCCGGAAGACAACAGTTCTGTGTTGACTGTATTGGGCACGTTTCTCACCTTCTGGAAAATCAGGTCATGATAGGAAAAACAGAAAATTGTACATGCAGGAACCGCCACTGTTTGGGAAAAAGATTAACTAACTAAACTACTAACTTGTCACGGTTTATGACGACGATTAACTGGTTACTACTCCTAAAATTAGGATTCCTTATTTCATCGGATTACGTGTTTTTAAAAAAACGAAATTAACAAGTTAAACGGGAAATAAAAAGAGAGGAATTCATCTTCTTCCTGTCATCAGAGGGCCAAATTTTCAACTACCCGTTGGGTATCGCGGACGAGGGTTCAAACCACGTTACAATACTTTATCGATATTATGCACAATTAAATATCCATGATGCCAGGATTCGAACCCAGGACCGCTAGTGTGGCAAATACTAGTCGGACGCCGTAAACGCTCGGCCGCCCCGGTCCCCTAAATCAATCAAACTACACTAGAGTTAATGATAAAAAATTATTTTTAAATTTACACAATTCAAACTCAAACAATTTCGTTCGGTTTAAATACGATTCTAGGTTTATATATTATTTCCCATAGGGCGAAAAATATAAGATATTTACGCAGGCTGTAGGAAGGAATTTACATTACTTTATACAGTTTTAATAATAATTTATAAAATATGGATTCCTGTTTTTATCCCTAACAATTTTAAAAGTCTACTTAAATTTTGTTCGGTAGCTAAACAAATCGAAGGGAAACAGTTAGTTCGAGGGCAAATATAGCAAAAAGAAATATTGTACAATAGATATTATTTATTTATTCGTTGTTTATTTTATTTTATTTTTTACTTTAAGGGGCATACAGCTTGGTAATTTCAGCCCCGGGCGCATGCGAAATATAACAACACACATTCAACACGCATTCACACAAATAAATACTTTCACACATTGCATTTATTCAATTTAGTAGATGGTGTACTCAATTCTCCTCCATCGACTGCATACAATAACAAACTAACCTAATTGGGAGTCGATGGAGTACTTTTATAAATATTCCTCCTTCTAGCCAAGTCACGTACACAGCTCGAGGAGGAATGAGGATGCTATTTCAGCATCAGGCCTTCTCCATTCACTCTAATAAATACACTCTAGTGGCAACAACACATCTACACAGAAAACAAACACTTTGAAGGATCCCCCCTTTTGAAACGTTGGCACGATAAAGAAAATGTTTTTCTAAAGCCTTCGTCACACCAGACCGCATCCCACGATCTCCAAATAATCTAATAATTACACTCACTCATACAAAACACAGAAACATAAAACACATATTTTGACGGGTATATACAATAGAAAATTTCCAATTCCCCTAAAACGCGGAACAGGGGACCCTGAAACTCGTTACCTTGTCCGAGAACCATTCTTAAATCCGGTGGCATGCCTACACACACTCTGTATGGAACCAAGGCGTTGGCACGCCTCTCTTATGTGGGTCACATCGAGCAACCATCCTCTGCATAAGGGGCTTTGGCTCAATGTTTTGTTATTATAACATCCATTTGCGGATTTTTTGGTATTTCGTTCGTTAGTTATTGATTTATTTATTTACTTCAATAATCATTCCTTTAAATAATTAATCAAACCATTTGAAATGAACATTGTAAAATGGATCTTTTTTTTTCTCCTCCAGACTGTAGTATAGAAGAAATATTCTCTCTTACACAGCCAATGTAATAAAAATATATGGCACAAGCTAATACTGTAAAATAATGTTCATATAATATTTTTTTGTTTAAACCAACTCCTATCTCCGTCGGTAATATCTCGTACGTGCAGTTTTCTTTTATTTAAGATTTTCCCTTATATAGGCATAAAAAATGATTTTAAAATCAATCTGACACGAAGGACCTCATTACGAGGTTGAATAACAGTTGGTTTTGACCCGAGTTTTTCTTTAATAGCTTCGTTATCGGCGGAACCAGGAACGAGCGAAGCATTGAGACGAGTTGGGCTTTCAAGAAACGTTTGTTATCCGTGTAGTATCGATGACAGGGAGATAAGTTTTGACCTCAATTATATCCAGTCCGAAGCTATCAGTTTTGAAATAAAAATGTGATCAAAAGGGGTTGGCAGGTCCATATATAAATGAAGTGTTGCCTAGCGATCTCTCTCTTTTCTCCTACATTTTTTTAAACAATTTATACATACGATACTGACAATTTCAATATATAAATAAATATAATTTAATCTGACAAACAAACCAAATCGTAAATCCCAATATAACTGGTAGTTTCAGAACAAACGTACAGCTTTTTTTATTGGTGCATCTTTGAAAATTGTATAATGGCCGAACTATATTAAATTCTAATCAGTATTTTAAATATAAGTTTAAATCTACAAAAATAAAGCTTGTCGTAGTAATTGACGGCCCAGACGTTTGTAACATATTACCGTGATGGGCCGTGGTCCTCAATAGAAATGGAAACAAATTTAGTCTAATAAATATTCTAAAGGATCTGTCCACGTAATGTTTTTATTTATTTTATTTGTACCATATACATATTAGTATCAAAAATGTGATGGCGTTTTTATACAGCGTCACAACACTAACGCCAGCGCTGCTCCCGGAGGACATGCCATGAGAACCAGCCAAAGCTGGTACTCAGTGTGAGGGATTAAGGGACAAGGAGGTCTCGAGGCCATCGTCGATTAGGACGAAGTGGCGGGTTCTCTGGATGGGTGTGTGTAGAAAGGGCTCGTGTAGGTAGGATTGATCGCGAGGTTGGTGTGAAACTTTTGGAATCTGGAACGGATCAGTTTGTTGACAAAAGAATGCTGAGGTCGTTGTGGATGGTGAGGTAATGACGTAGTAAGGAGCTTTGACGTTTCGTCTGAGGACTTTTGATTAGAAGGCTGAAGAATTTGGTTGGCTTGGCAGAACCACACGGTTCCGCTCTGGACGCCCAACGTGGTCGCAGTAAAGTCATGAATAAAGTTAGTTCAGTTTTCGGCCTTATAAAATCTCGTTGTTGTCTCTTAAGTCTTGTGTGAGGTTACACGTCAGTCTCCTGTCTAGTTATAGAGTTGGTATCTCTTTGTCCTTGTTGGACACGGGTGGGCAAGACAATTTTTTTCAATATGAACGTATAGTGAGTACAGTTTTCTTAATTCCGTCTTGTCCTCCACTTTTTGCACCAGTCTTCGATAAGCTAAAGGTATTCTTGAGAGTTGGAGGTAGTTTGGTGTTAAGAAACTGCGGTATCGTCCGCGTAGGTCGTGATATTGGTATTAAGGTATAGGTAGGTTAATAGAACAAAGCGTAACTATGAGAGAGTACAAAAACCTTCCTGAACCCTGGCAAAAAAAAAATTGCAAAACGCTAAAGGATGAGACAAAGAATGCTCCCTTGTGGGACGCCGGCCTGTCTGACTTCCGAGTTCCGAGAACCCGTTGTTGTGCCTCACTTTGAAGCAGCGGTCGGTCAGATAGGATTTCAAGATACTGTAATAATAAAAAGAGAGCAAGAAGCGTTAAAGTTTACAAAGCATACTTGGGTGACAGACCCTACCAATAGCGTGTTTTATATCTAGGATCGCACTGAAGCAATACTCTGTTTTCTCTACAGCAGAGGTGTCGACAACTCTGAAACCTTGTTGGATCGTGGAATGATGTTAACGGTAGCCGAAATGGTGAGAAGTAATGGCATGAGTATTAAGCTCTTCAGAAGGAGTCTTTCAAGGATTTGCACAACAATTCAATTCTTAAAATAGATTTACATGTATAGTTTCGTAAATTATGTACTCCAGAGTAAATCTTTCTGTTTATTGAATATTCCTTAGTGCAAGAATTTACAAAAAATCAGTATATCAGTAAATTGTTATACCCAAACCTGAGATGGTAAGGCAGACCAAGATGCTAAGAACTAGCGTAACTATGAGAGAGTACAAAAACCTTCCTGAACCCTGGCAAAAAAAATTGCAAAACGCTAATTTTTTATTTGCGTACAATCTTTGAACAGCCAGCTCATTCGTGTATAAACTAGATTTTGATTGACATTAAATGAGGATTGATGTTGAGAAAGTCGTAAAATGGAAGCTGTTACAACAAAAAATCTTGTTGATAGAACGCTTAACCTATGCTAACTGTAATTGCACTAATTTACAAGGTCTTATTCCATAGATACTTTATTACTTGTCGACTTTTTACATATTTTAATATAAGTAGAAGGTGAGAACGCCAACGTTTCCCCGTTTCTAATAACTCGTTATTTTCTTGATTAATTACAGATATGTTTGTACTAAGTATTCTCTTCCCTTTAAATTGTGCTTTTACTCTTAAAACACCTCTAGTTTTTGTTTTTTGAAAATGTTAAATCTTATGATACAAGTGCTGGTAGAGTAATGGTGCTACCAGTGGCGAAATGCTGGGGAACCCCTTCCTAGGGTCCCATTACCAAATGGCATTCAGTTGATATCTGATTTCTTTCAAATGTCTTTGGGTCAACGAACGTGAAATATAAAAACGTGGCAGAGCGTCGGCTTTCACTGTTGTAAATTAACTGACTTTGAACAGTATGGCCGTTAAATAATAG